CTTTGAATAGTTTAAGAAAGATATTTATCCAACTGTCTGTAAGTGAATATTTATGGTAGCATGAATTATTATATGCTTTTGAATGCTAGTTATTTTCAACACAATGATAAAATTTATATGTGCAGGTACAATTATTTTGAGAGGTATAAAAAGATCAAGTAGGATCAGTTAGGAATATACATAATTATCTGAAAATGTAAAATGAAATTGAAGAGAAAGGATTTGTGTATATAATGGAGTACATGAGATATCAAATGTTATACATTTTAGTAAGTACATAAGGATTCATCCTGAATTGAACAAAAAAAAAAATAGACATCTACCATTTTTAATAGTATTGTAAAATAAATTGGAATGATAACTAGACGATAAAATGAAAAATTAATATAAACGTTCATTAAATTAATTGGAAAATCTTAATGACAATGTCTGGAATGTTAATCATATATTAATGAATGTTAATAATTTTTAATTGTTAAGATTTATGCGTTTGTGGAAGGAGTTATTATTTATAAGAAATATTTTATACTAAACATTATTTTATTTAACAAGATTAATTAATTATAAATTGATTTGAAAACGGATGTGAATACATATCAACACTGCACGATAGTAATAAAGATAGATACATATTAGAAAAAAGAAGGAAGACAAAACTCTAATCAATAGATCAATCAATTATGACGGACGAGTTTGGCGGAAAGATTTGAATTCTAACATTAATTCATTAATAAATTGAAAAATTAATAAACGAAAAACGTACTAAGTGTTTTAAACTTATTTTAATAAATAAAAGAATGTCTTTTATTGTAATAAATTATTGTAATAAATAAAAGGATGTTTTGTTATTGTAATTTTTATAAGAATTTTAAAAACATTAATATTAAACAAATTATTCAGTATTTGTTTATAAAAAAAATTTTAATCAGTGTCCAAACATTGATGAAAGGAATTTGTAATCGCAAACAAAATTTATTAACTATAAAAATACATATTGTAATTGTTGAGATATATTTGTTTGCAATTAAAGAAGACTAGTAACTATAAACATTCAAATGTTATCATAATCAAAGTATTTTTGATGTTAAAAATATTATTTCAACTGTTTTCGTTAATTACAATATCATTTGTTAATAGTTACAAATCTCATCTATCAATGTGTCACAGAAATTGGCCAACTACTAGAATTTTTAATTAAATTAAATATAAAATTAATAATAAAATACAAATTAAATTAAAATTCCAATTACAAAATCGAATTAAAATATTGAAAATTTCCTATCTACTTCCCTTAAATACTATAGAATACTTGAATAAATGTATTCAATGATCAGAATGAATGATAATAATTTAATGGCATGGAGTAACTTTTTGGATAAAGCCCAAAGTATCTATCAATATCCATACAACAAATTCAGTTAAAGGACGTCATTCAAAAGGGAAATAATAACCCGATAATTTATTATTTCACAATTTAATTAATTTTTTTCTTTTCCTTGGCGAAAAAAAAATTAATTTCAATATCCACGAACGGAGAATAAAGAAAATAGAAAATTTGATTAATTATATTTGCGTAAAATGATTGATTGTTTCCTTAGGTTGATATAAGCTTCTATTCCAAGTTATTGTTATACGCTCGACGGGGGAGAGAAAAGAAAACCGGAAGGAGGAAGTAATATAGGACATTTTCTTGCTATTCTTTTCTCCAGGAGCATAAGGTGCCTCATCATGTTTTATTTATCAATTTGGTACGGGGGGGATTTCGAAGAGAGAAAGAGTAGTGGTGCAGTACGATGCGGACACGTTGCACGACATGAGAAAAGATCGAGAAAAGAATGGTGATTTATGGTGGCAACATGTGACGCTGTTTTGTGCGTATTGCCAACGTCTTAGACTTGATATACACCACTAAATTCCTCATCTTTTTTCATTGCATTATATTACTCTATAATTATTTAACCGCCAACCTGTTTCATTTAATTTATCCAACAATTTTAATCAATCTTCCAATTAATTCTAATTTTCCCTTTTTATCTCATATAACCACGATTGAATTTTTCCAATCTATTTTTACATTTTTAAAATGAAAAAAATTAAGCGATTAATGAAGTAATACACTAAGAAAAAATTGTTGCTATACAAAAAAATGTTTGTTTAATAAAGAAAAAAAAAAATTTGAAATTTTATTGAATTCAATGAAATCTTGCTCGAAAAAATGATTTTGATATTTGATTTAAAATTAGGATAAATTTGAAGATGAGTGACATTAGATTACACTGATAGAAATATTTCTTTGTATCTAACATAATTCATTAGCAGCTAATAAATATGTTATTTAAAAGAGAAATCGAATGAACATTTATTAACAGTTAAGAAATTATTTATTAGAGTAGATTTATTTGGCTCAATGAATGATTTCTTAGCTGCTAACAAATATTTATTTCTCATCTAAATACTATAATTGGGCTCGATGGTAAGGTAGAATGACGGTCAAGCATAATCAAATTTTAGGTTATATTATGAAATAACTTTTATTTATTGAATTGATAAGGAATTCATTTAGTCCCACCAAATAGATTCTTCTATCAGTGTAGAATAAATTGCCCGCCAATGATTGGATGATAATTTGAATGTTTTAACCAATAAAAGAAGAGTCACTCTCTTTTCGATATATTTCCATTATTGGCTAACTTCATGTGTCCATAAGAATTTATGGATAATGATTGTTCAACCAATAGGGAAAAAGTCATTCTCTTTTCGATATATTTCCATTATTGGCTAACTTCATATGTATCCATGTAAATTCCTAAATAAAAATCTGAGACAATTCTTACTTAATGAGATACCATGGATCTCAAAAAAAATGATTCATTGAATTCATTGAAACACTAGAATAAACCAATACTAAATAGATAATTCTATTCAATCGCACACAATAAAAATCTATAATTAACTCAATGAATTATTTGGTAATTGTATACTTTCGCGGTCCCCTCGTTTTTTGGCTCTAGAAAATCGAAAAATCATCCGATTTTAATGATTTTTTAAAAAAAATCTTTGTTTTTACGACGGATTTATAAAAAAAAATATGGGAAATATCTCACCTAGAAATTTCATATAGTTTCATGACTTTAAATGTGATCATAAACGCACTTCTTTGAATATATTTTATTATTTAAAGTAACTATCAGAACTGAATCTTTAAAAATCACTTATATTAATTCCAAAAAAAAGATTTCACTACGACTATTCAAAATTCTGTTTTTATTATCTAAAAAAATGATATTACTTTTCCACAATATATATTTTTTTCTCAATGTACACAACAAGGTTATTTACAAATTTCCGAAATAATCCAAAATTACAAAAATAATCCAGTAAAAAACCAATTATTAGGTTTGATTGTTACATCGATTTTTTTTTTTTTCAATTAACTTACCTAATATAGGACACGACAGAAAACATTAAAATGTTCCAATTAATCGTATTCAATCATCCAATTGGTGTGTTAATTAACCCTTTGTTATTAGCTTGGTGCGAGGAGAACGTTAATGAGATTGCTTTGTGATTTATTACAATGTGATAAAATATTGAGTATTACATGCACATATGGCCAGTGAATACAAGCTGCATCGTGACTCTGCCAAGTATTATTCCCTTAGGAATTCCATTATTACAAAAAGTACAAAAATAAAATTGCTGCATGAGTATATATATATATATATATAGATTCATCGATAGACCTACCTTGCTATACATTACTGTCGATGATTGCTCGACCTGATATTTTACATCCGGAATCGCAAAAGAATATTTCGTCATTTTAGTCACGGGCATAAAAAAATATTACACTAAATTATTGTCATAATATTGATAGTAATAATTTTTATGGAACCCATTGTATATGTGGATTTTTTGTATTACTTATTGTAGAAGTGAATAAAATTTTATCAATAACTTTTAGTACTTTTGAAAAAAATTCTGAGAAATATTTTGTGACAAAGTCGTCGACATTTTAGTTCTCTTGTGATGTTTGTACCAAGCTTTAATCTTCTGTATAGACAAAAAACCTTTTTCTCCAACGTTGAAACCAAGAGAAAAGAGATGCAACTATATGCTTTTATCATAAGCGTTGAGAGCTTTTTTTTTCTCTCTTTTGTTTTACTACGCACGATTGGCTTTCTTTGCTGGCACCCCGTCATCAATAACCACGAAAAGAACTTTTCCATTCTCGTTTTTAAAAAATAACAATCGAAAATTCAATACTAGAATATAAACGATTTCGTTATTTCCAATTACTTGTATTGGCTTTTTGAGAGCTTTGTTCAAATCACAAACGAAATAAAAAAAAAACAAAATTTCAAATGATTTATTTACATCTTGAATAACTCAATAAAAAAAAGCTATTTCCTAAATACTCTTTAATTCTTCATCGATTTATTTATTTAAATAAATTAAATAAAATTTCAAAACATCGATTATTTCGTTTGTTGGACAATTTTAATTTTATACTACTTAAAATGAATTTTTCGATTTTCTATATTTAATATTAAAAAAAAAAAATTTTATTTCTACAACAAAATGTCTACGATTTATCTGTTCTATATCTTAATGATTAAATATTAATTTCTAGACACAACAAAAATTAAAACTGAAAATTCTTAGAATATTCCAAGAATTATTGATTTGCTCACTTTTTTACCTACTGATGGTAATGTCATTCTAGTAAGGGTATAAAAGTCACGTGATTACTATAAAAGCTTTGTTCAATTAATCACTATTAAAGCTCATATATAAGCAATAATTTTTTATAAATAATGTTAAAAATAGGGGTTTTAAAGAAATGAAAATAAATTAAATTAAAAACGTAAATACCTAGCATTATAAAAATCGTATACAGTTATCTTAATCAAAAGGTATTAACTTTCTCAAATAATTGAAGTGTAAATAATGAGCTAATATGTATAAAAAAGATTAAAATGATTTATAATGAAACTCACCGGAGTAGAACTTAGATGATTTTTGTAATAGCCAAGTTTGAAGGGCAAGTCTTTCTCGATGTCTACAGAAAAATTCCGGTTTAATGTTGTACCTCTCAAGAAAGTCATCACACTTTTGAAGAACTGCAAGCGCTTTCGCAACTTCCACTTCGTCCATGTCATCCAGAACGAGCTCGTTTGAGTAAGAAGTTCGACTTGAGGACGCAGCAGCACGTTCCTCGTAAGTCTCGTCAGGCAGTAGCATCCCCATTTTCACAAAACCCCTTGAAAACTCGTCAATCGTACACTTCCTGACGGCACATATATGCGTCTCGCGACCTACAGGCTCTACAACCAGTCCTCGAAAACACATATTAGTATTCAGACGAAGACTTCATGTTCTCCACCCAACAAATGTTCGCACTTTTCGTTTCACTTCCTTAATACATTTTATCTGTCATTATATCAAGTTCTCCACTGTTTCTCTTCTCTTATCCAATACTCTCGATTATTTTTTCTTTATTTTATCCCATCCAGTACACAAATAAATGCCTTTTAAGTGGCTCAGTTAACCCCCTTGCACCTTCAACACTCATTGAATTGTCGATTTAATTATTTCAATATCTTCTACGTTTTTTATTTCTCATCTCCTTTGAAATAATTTTTACAATTACTCCAATTTTTTTATTCCTTTTTTTTTGGATGAAAAATAATTAAAAAATATTTTAATTTCAATAGGGGTAGTTAGAGATCACTTATATCTGCTTCAAGTTCACTTAATTTTAATTTCACTTCTCCACGAATAATCCCTTGTTATACAAATCTACAACTACTGCTACTATGATTATTTTATTTTTAATTCGATGCAGTCTGAAATTCGTTAACTGCTACACGTTTAAGATTCAAAAGGTCGACAAAAAATGGTCGATAGGATGCAATTGGATTTTTTGTTCAATGTACAGTCGAGGGTTAACGAGATGCATATGAATGGAGGAACGGTCGAATGTTTCCGGCGCCGGTTGGTCGTGCATTTGAAATCGATCCTCTTGATCGAACTCGATGGCAGGAGCTCCAGTGCCACTTGGATCTCCTCGACTCGAGCCTCGACTTCGGGCTGTGGCGCTTTGTACTCGACATATTTAAATCACCGTCGAGGAATAAACGGCCGCGTCTCGTTTATCCTTCGAATTCGAAAGTGAGAGCACACTAGCGCGATCCGTGTGTCTTCTTTCTCCTCTTCTTCTTCTGCTTCTTCTTGTTTACAACCGTCAACTGCCTTTTTTTCCTTCACTATTATTTACTATTTATTCCATTCCTTCTATTTATTGAACTCCAGCTTCCAATATTGTACCTAATTGCAACAAAAAGTCAAATTGGAATTATTCTTATTTGTTTTGGTTTATTTATCTAAATTTGAGTTCATGTTACAATGGGAACTGTGAAATAAAATAATTCATTTCGCACCAAGGGAGTAAAGTGAAACATTTCCGCTCGGGACGAAATTTTTCTTGTGGATTAAAGTGTTTGACATTTATTCTCATGATGGAAATATATATTTTTTTGTCATATTGTCACGAAACATTAGATTTTATTCTCAGTTTAGAAGTTAATAAAGTGACATGTTTCGTCTGGTAGAAAAAAAAAAATTCCGCGTGCGCATGCGCGCAAGCAAATGTCATTCTATGCGAGGTTGAAAAGTGGGACTTTATTAACCTTTAAACTGCGAATACAATATAATTTTACGTGGAGGTATGACAAAAATTAAGGTTGGGTGTACAAATTAATTCGATTCCTTTTTTTTGTTGTAAAAAAATGTATTTACTTTAAAACAAAATAATTTAACAAATTAATCAAAGTATTACAAGTGAAAAAATATTGTTTTTATTGGACTCTAAGTGAGGATATTATTTATAAATAAAAAATAATTGGCTTTTTAATTATTTTCATCGACCAAAATAAGTTTTTTTTCTAATGTGATTGTAAGAAAAGTAAAGTTACAGTTGCCAACATTAAGTTTAAAGTACCAACTTGAAATAAAAATTCAGAAGCTGTTCTACCTCACTTACTAGACTGTACATAAATCAATGAAATTACTTAACAGTGTTAATAAAATTAATTCACACTAGACAATTAATTTACACATCAAACTTTAACTTGATGATAAATAATTGAACTTTAATTGCAACCAAACTATGTCGTGATCTAGAGAGTAATTGCTTTAAATGTTACTGGTAACTTAATTAAAAAAACACTCGATCGTAGCCCACCTTTCTCTTCTTCCTTTTGTGCACTTGGTATTTTTTTATTTCTATTCCTCACGTGGATTTTTTTATGCAAGCAAAAAAATGATTGGACGAGATTGAAGTTGAGAAAAACATGTGTTTGTTGATGAAACACGCGATGCGGTTGATCCACCTTGTTTTCTTGATATCATAAAAGAGAGAGAATAGAAGCAAACCTCAAAACTTTTCTCTCACCGGGTGTTTCCTTCCTTTGCAGTATCGATTTGCAGTATGACATGGATTCTAACTACTCATTTTTCAACCGCAACCACAGCTTCTGAATGCTATGAAAAATTTTATTGTTAAGCACTTTTCGTAGCTTCTTCATTATCATATAGAAATTTACAAGCTATAAACATTGACGGGTAATAATAAATTATTTTAGAAAAAAACAAAAAATAGAATTATGCATAAATTATTTTAATCCTCGTTACATGCTGCTGATAAATGATGGTCCTTCTTGGATTTAATTTGACGTTAAATAGACTTAAAAATTCAAATGAAAGAAAAATATTCTCTTCCTTCATTGAAATTTTTTATTTTATTTGGCATTGGTTGAGGTTTTAGTCAAGTAGAAACGGATGTCTGTAGATGATATAAAATGAGTCTAGGACATTAATTAACAAGAACACGCCGAGCGGCTATTCGTTGCAGTAAAAATCGCAACGAGCATGCTGGGGTGGAAACCTATTGACGATCCAACTGCACGCGATCTCTCTAGAGACTGATTAATTGTACGTTAAACCAGTGAAAAAATTTTTTTTTTAATTAATGATGATCGAACGACTTCACTTAAACTCCTACGATCCTACTACACAGTTTAGATTTATTGGAAGTACACGAAAGGCTTCGGAAAATCATTAAAAGTTTTTTCCATTATTCCAAACCTATTTTCAGAACCTACTCGTGTCTTTTCGGGGTTTGAACAAATTTTTCTAATCTAATAAACTTTTGTTCATTATACCTCACTTACTTTTAACCTTACAAGTTTTAGTTTAAAGTTTGAAAAATTTTCAATAATCATTAGAAAACTTTTATTACCATTCCTAACTTTCATAGGGAAAATAGGATAGGGATTTTTTTTTATGTACTATAAATTAAGATGATGAATATTTTTCACGCTATTAAAAACTTGGCTATCATATCGAGAGACTTATATATATATAAAAATATATATAAATGAGTGATGAATAAATATCAAGGAAAACCAGGGTAAGATGATCCTCGAAAATTTTTATAATATTTTTACATTGAAACAACAAGTTGAACTGGACTGTGGTATTTTATTTTTAATTCAAGAAAAATAAGTATCTCTATCAGTATAAAATGAATTTTTGCAACTAAAATACTAGTTTTTTTACAAAAAAAAAATTACTAAACAGACTAAAGTAGAATTTTTTTATCAAAAACCAAAAATTTCCCACCTTGGTAAGCTCGTTTATGGTCCAACATTGAATATTCACTGATTCATTTTTAGAGAGTGGAACCGTGTTGGGTCAGACCAATGGGTCCATTGTGTCTTCATCCTAGGGTAGTTGAACTTTTTTTCAACATAATGTAGTCATTATAGTCCAATCAATATGCTTTTTAAATTAGAAGTCTTTTTTAAGATAAAAAAATCGAAAGTTCAAATTGAATAGAATATGTCATAATAGATATTTTTTTTTTTTAAATATATAATTTATATAAAAGCGCAAATTTATAGAATATTCTCCAAAGAATGTAAAATATTCATCATGAAGAAGCTCGATACATGGATATATGTTGGGAAAATTATATTTGGAGACAAGAGCAATTTATAAATTTGTATAGAGCATCTGGGCTGGTACAATATGGTTGTATTTTACAAACGAAAGACGAAGAATAGTAGTGATATAAAAGATCGTAACACACGATCCAGGAACGATCGATGTTAACGCGGAAGTATTTCTCGATCTAACCCCACGGTTCTCATTTTCACTGCTTCTATCCACTCTCGATAAAGTGTTATCAAGTTCCATCTTCCTCCAGGCTGTATCTTCTCTCTACCCTCTAATACAAACCCTCTCATACCAAGCCATCTCGTGTCTCTGCTATTTTTCCATCTTCTGTACCTACTTGTTCAATTGAAAAAATATCCAATATAACTATCTATTTAGCTTGGACTTTTTATCTTTTTTTCCTTTTACTTATATCTTACGGTAATAATTACTATAAACATCCACTAGATACAGTAACATTAACATTTCTGATTTTAATTTGTTATAAATAAAAAAAAAAAAATTTTAGCAATAAATATTAATCTCAATCCTTCAATTTTATTAACATTCATTTTTACTTTTGCTTAAAATAAATTTAATAATTATTTTAAAAAATTAAAATAAACACGGACATTAAAATTCTACACAAAAAAAATGGCATGATCGATTTTGTTCAAAATTTAATCGGATCTAAGATATATAGTTGTGCATTTAATGAAATTGGTCCCATGTCAATATCATCATTAATTCTCGAGATACACAAGACCAAAATTGATAACGAACATACATACAGACATGTGCACACACGGTTGTCGTCTTAAAAACTATAGCATTAGACTCTAGAGGCTTGTGATGTTTTCAACGTAGGAAAACATCACTTGAAACATAAAGATATGTCTAAATTCAGAATTAGCAAAATCGGACTCATTACAATAACTTACCCCTAAAAAATTATTTATCTAAGACATTTCTTACATGTCGATAAATACTGCAAATTCATTGCAATAGAAAAAAAATGGTCTGAGCACAATTTGTCTGTGCTAACACGACGAACTTCCTATTAGAAATTGTTTATAACAAATTTAAATAGTAATAATCAATGTTTGTTGAAAGCATCCAAATCCATGTGATATACACATTACTTAATCAATAAATACAATTTTTAATTGTTTACAACAAATTCGTATTGTTATAAACAATGTGTAATTGTTGAAAGTCATATTTGGTTGTGAACAATAATGTCTAGTCAGTATCGACTCAATTTTCAAATGAAATTGTTATTGTTTGGCTTAAAAGTATTTTAAATAGTCAATCTTTTCATTTTTTTATTAGTTATTTTGTTATAAAAAAAACGGCTTGACCGAATTTTTTATAACTCAATTCGTTCTTGAGATATCGAAAACGAAAAAAATGCTGACGTCCATACATACGTACATACGTACGTCCGTACGTACGGACGTACGTACACACACATCATTCTAAAAATTGGTCAGTATGCATGCAAATACCATGAAACATGGAGATACGATGAAAATTCAAATTTCACCAATCGACCCAATTTCAATAACTTCCTAATGGGAAGTTAAAAATTTAACAACAATATTAATTAAAAATTAAAGACAAAAACAGAGTTGATTAGTCCAATCAATAAGTCAAAGTAACAAACTTTATCGCACCGTTCAAATATGTTAGCTTGTTAAAAATCTTTTTAATTGTACTCTCAAGCGTAACTTTTATCGTCAAGATACTTAATTCAGTTGTTATTTAGTTATTATTTCACAAAGGAAGAAAAAAAAAAAAAATAATAATAAACAATAAAAAAAGGTAGGAAGTGGAGTTAAAAAAAAGTGGTTATGGCTTAAATGCAAAGAAGATAAGAAGGGATAAAAGGAGGAAAAGTGGAGAAGGCGAGTCGGTGATTAGGGGGTACGGATTGAGGCCCCTGCGGGCCCCACACAACCGCCCACTATCGCGCAAAGGAGCTGCAGACCTGTAAGAGTCAGACTTGGCCGAGACATATGAATGCGCGTGGGAACGTATCGGATCGTTCATCATACTCTCTCGCTCTTTCATGTAACATACTCACAGGTTTAGTACCTCTAGGGCACGGGCCAGACCATGCGAAACGAGATGGAGTTTGTAAGATAGATGGAGCGGAACGAAATAATGCACATTTTCATCAAATTGAAACGATAGTATTTTTTTTTATATTTTAATCTAAACTTTTTTTTTATGATCTAGAGATTATGATGGATTACTTTATGATACCTTTTTTTTTTAATAAAAAATTTATTTGAATTGATGGAATATCCGTTAGATGGTACATTATACCTTTCACCGCAATATTCTTCGTATAATAAACTCAGGGTACGTGTGTGCAGAAGCGAAGTGCTAGGTTTCTGCTAACATACACCCCGGCCACGATCATGACGGCCTGATGTTATGACGCTATTACTTATCATCTTTCACCACCGTAACGTATCAAAATTATTTTTTTATTACCACTAGTCAATAATCTGCTTGAATTTACTCACAAAAGTTTCTATTGATTGATGTGGATGCTTTGAAATTCAATATCTACTTTTTTCTTTTTCATTTTTGACATACACTAAACAACCAGTGAACATGACAACATGAAATCTGAGTACATCAGGAGAAAAATCTGCAAATTTTTTCATATTTTTATTCTCTAAGATTTTTTTTCTAACTTTTTTTTTTAAAGAATTATTTACTATCATCTAGTCTAGTCGATATATTGCAAAAATATTGCCATTTTTAAATAGGAATCTGATTTTCTATACTAAAAACCTTGGAATGTTTCTCTAAAAATGAAGATAAAAAAATATTTTTTACTAAATAGTTACTTGCTAAAAATTTTTAAAAGTCATAAGTCAAAAGTTCTATCAAGAAATAATTGAGAAAATACTTTGGATTATTATTTATAAAAGAAAAAATTGTTACCATTTAGATAATTTTTATAAACCAAGATTAAAAAAGAGCTCTAATTTTAGATTATGATTACAACAACTCCAAGACTTGGATGAATGCCTAAACTTCTACAGATTTTTCTGCTATATTTTTTCCAAATTCGAATTCTAATCAAATAAATATTAAACATAAATATTTATAATAATTGTTTGGAGATAATTGATGCACAAAATTGAGTATAGAATGAGAATAACATGCTCGATACATCTCGATGGCGTGTGTTTCACGCCATAATTCTGCAACCCTGACCCTCGACCCTCTTTCGCTTTGCGTCCAGTGCAGCGTATAATTAGGGGGTCAAGTCAAGAAACTGAGAAGCGAACCGCCTTGCAAGAATTCTTACAAGGTTCCCACAGAAAACCTGAACATTATGAAAAATAAAATAATCCTTAGAGCAAATTACCATTAGGCATCACATGATGGTTTAAAGCCACAATTTCTAGATGTTCATATACCTACTTGAAGAATGACTATTAAATGAATTTAACCAGTCTATAACCAAAGAAAATGAGTTAACTCTATGAAATTATTTATATA